AAAACTTTCGCACAGATGCTTTAGTATGTGACCTTGATCCTGCTCCACCAGACAGAGCATCAGATCCATTTCTCTGCAACTGCTCGATATCAAAGGCCTAAAATTTAATAGTAAGTTACAATTTACATTGTTCAGCCTGTCAACTTGTAGGGAGATTGCTTGATCGAGACGCGTCTTAAATTGCAATAACGCATCTGGAGTACACTGTATGATGAAGTTAAGAGCGATGTCACCGTCCTTAGTACGCGCAGTAATGTCGCCACCTTTTGACAACAACATCCCCGTGTTGTGCGAATTTTCGTTCAAAGCAGCGATGTGCAGCGGCGTGAAACCGAATTTGTCCGCCTTGTTAATTGATGCGCCTGTCTTTTTAATCAAAAAATAATTTTATTAATTCTATCGTTGGAATAAAAACCATTACTTAAACTTTTTTATTACATAAATGGAATTACTTAACGTAATTTATTTAAAAAATCTATTTAAAATTTGAAATTAATTTTTTTGTTATTTTAATTAAAAGAAGGTATTCTACCCAGTGAGTTAAAGGAATTTTCATGTACAAACTTGTATTAAAATTTTGATCATTTCGCTGTTTTCATTTGGAACTGCAGCATAGTGTAGAGGAGTGCGACCTTCATTATCCTCTTCGTCCACCTTTGCGCCAAATGTAATCAACTCTTTTATCGTCTCTACAGATTGGGCGAGCGTTGCCAAGTGCATTGCCGTTTGACCATTAGAGTTTTTTGTCTCAGTCTTTGCGCCGGCGTCCAACAGTAATTTAATGCATCGTGGGTCACCTTTTTACACCGCCAAGTGTAGAGGTGTCGATTTCGTTGGTTCCATTTGAATTTTCACATTCGCATCGTGATCCAATAGCAATTTGATGCAATGGACATTGCCCAAAGTAACCGCCACATGCAAAGGTGTCTTTTTATAAACCTATCAACGAATCATAATTAATTTATTGAATATATCTTAAATATATCTAGAAGAGATACGTTACTTTGGTAAGAAATTAATTGTTTCGCTGCAAAATTCGCTGTATCAGATAATTAGTAGTTTGCCTTTTTAATTTTACAGCAATTTTTGGTATATAATATTACTTCTCCACTAAATTTATCTTTAAATTGTGGTTGTAATGAAAAAGCACCTGTGCTTTATCAGGACTAGCATCTGCTTGCAGTAGAAGCACCTGTGAGTTATCAGGACGAGCACCTGCTTGCAGTAGAGTTTCGACGCAATCCACAGCATTGTTCAGCACCGCGTAATAAAGTGGACTTCTTTTAACATTCACATGTGCCCCTGACTTGATCAAGCATTTAACAGTAGCAACGCAACCAGCTGCGGCAGCGCAATGCAACGGGGTACATTTCTCCTCGAAATCCCACCTACATGGATCTGCACCATGTTTCAATAGCTCCTCCACGATCTCCGTAGACGTGGTGCACGCTGCCAGATGTAGCGGTGTCCTGATGATAATGGAAATGTATAATTTTTATCAATGATTTATAATTACAGGTTTAATTGATTAATGAATCAAGGTATCTGATAATTTACTACTAGCTAGTAAATAAATTATTCCTATCATAAAAAATGAATTATGGTTTTCAAAAGTTTAGTTCAGTTTTTGATGATAATTGAAGTTTATTTCAATTTTTTGATGATAAATATTTAGACTTCTATATATTATAAGTGATATAAACCTTCCATCATTGTCCGTCGTAGAAACTGGCGCGCCTTTGTCTAACAAAGCCTTAGCTATTTTTACATGACCTAGCCAGCTAGAAATCAGTAAACATGTATCCGGCCATCCAGCAAGTAGTTGTCCCGCAGTTATAATATCCGCTGCTCTATTTTCGTCAGCCAATACAGTCTCTTGCTCAGTTCTGCATGTAAAGTTTTAAGTTAATTATAGATAGTTAATTAACATATAAAGCTAAATTATAAAGATATTAAAATATTGTAATTAAAAATTTTATTATTTTACTTATATAAAGTATCTTAATATATGTAAAATAGATTAGTTAAATAACATGATCAATGTAGAAATAGAATGATTTTTAATAACAGAAACAATTTTTATTAACAGAAATATGTAACATCAAATAGGAATATACACAATAAATAAATTAAGAAGCATAACATTCTATTTAAAATTCTATTTTTTTATCATTATTTATTTATTTATTTTTATTTATTTATTGTATCTTAATGCAACACGCATAAATTAGAGACGCTAATATCATTCCGTACTCATCTGCACACGTGACCAACGATATGTTATGCTTGCGATCCTCATTTTTGTTGAGAGTCACACATTGAAATTCTTCCAGAACCTTTTGTAGAGCATCGCCACGAAGAGTAGGAATCAGAAATAAAGCTGTGTCGCCTCCCGGAAGTTTCAGTAATGCTACTTCGATCTCTTTTTTGCTCCAAGGTGTCTCCGCGTTATCAGCTCGTCTTGTGTCATGATATATGATAGATTCCAAGTTTTCGGAGCTAGGGCATGACAGCAGAACTGGCCTAAAAAATTACCCTTTTAAAAAAAATGTAAAAAAAGGTGCTAAGTCCGCGTAAAAAACAATATATATATATATGTATTTGCAAAATAGTATATTATTAATTGTAAAAAACTACTGTATTGTATACGTAAAAAACAGTATATGTATTTGCAAAATAGTGTATTATTAACTGTAAAAAACTACTGTATTGTATATCCTACAAAAATAATGATATCAAAAAAATTGCGCTAAGTGAAAATAAAAACTTAAAATATTTTAACTAAAAAAAATTGTTTTAATTTCCTACAAATAATATTAAAAAGTTGCGCCAACTGAATAAAAATTTTTATTATAAAATATGCATATTTCTTTTTTATTTTTAATATTAAAAGAAAAATGATATTAAATGAATTGTAATATATCTATTATAAAAAATCGTTGAAAATATGAACAATCATATACATTGCAATAATCATATGCATATATCTTGAAAAGTTTAATTAAAAAAGAAAATAGAAAATGATAATACAAAATACAAAATTAAAAATTATTAAAAAAATTAAAAATTAGAAATTAATAAATAAAAAATAAAAATTTATATAAAAATTAAAAATTAATACATATAAAAAAATTTTAGTTAAAAAACTTAGCGCTGCTAATTTCATTAGCACATTGTTCAGCGTAGCAGCGCTAAGTTTTTGAACTAAAATTTTTTTATATGTATTAATTTTTAATTTTTATATAAATTTTTATTTTTTATTTATTAATTTCTAATTTTTAATTTTTTTAATAATTTTTAATTTTGTATTTTGTATTATCATTTTCTTTTTTTTTTTTTAATTAAACTTTTCAAGATATATGCATATGATTATTGCAATGTATATGATTGTTCATATTTTCAACGATTTTTTATAATAGATATATTACAATTCATTTAATATCATTTATCTTTTAATATTGAAAATAAAAAAGAAATATGTCTATTTTATAATAAAAATTTTTATTTAGTTGGCGCAACTTTTTAATATTATTTGTAGGAAATTAAAACAATTTTTTTTAGTTAAAATATTTTAAGTTTTTATTTTCACTTAGCGCAATTTTTTTGATATCATTATTTTTGTAGGATATACAATACAGTAGTTTTTTACAGTTAATAATACACTATTTTGCAAATACATATACTGTTTTTTACGCGGACTTACCTTTTTTTACCTTTTTTTTAAAAGAGTAATTTTTTAGGGATTTTATATTTACTCGCGGCATTTAATGCGGAACAAGTAAAACGATCGCGGCTCTTCGAGCGGTACGATCTGACTATTTTACATTTACTCGCAGCATTTTATGCGGAACGAGTATAAAATATGTAAAAAATTCGTGGCCTTATGGCAGATCGAATAAATTGGGAGACAGTTAACTCGGAATTTTTTAAAATTAAAACATAATTTTTTACTTTTTTTATATATTAATTTTAAATGCAAGATATTAACATTTTTATATTTTTTATTAGCAAATATTATGTTTATGTTTTTAAGAATTTCGGGTTATGTGTCAATTGGCCTCCACGTGGCGTCTCCTGGAAATGCTCTATGAATAGCTAACAATTGACACCAAGATTATTGTGTATAAAATTACATATAAATATATACAGGGTGATTCAGAACAAACTGTTGTTGTCTTTAAAATATCAAATTCTTGAATGATTTGTAAGACGATTTTTCCTATTGCAAAATTTTGCCCGGAGCTTAGATTTTAAACTATAAAGGAAAATAGTTCGAATTAATAACGGAACGAGTACGAGAAGTAGGTAGGGACGGCGCGATATAAGTGATTACGTTCCAGTGAGAAATGTTGGTCGAATCTACATCAATTCATGAGTGTAGCAATCAGCTGATCGCGGCGAGCGCCTCACGTAATCATTTATATCGCGCCGTCCCTACCTACTTCTCGTACTCGTTCCGTAATTAGTTAACTATTTTCCTTTATAGTTTAAACACTAAACTCTGGGCAAAATTTTTCAAGAGGAAAAATCGTTTTAGAATTAATTCAAGAATTTGATATTTTAAAGACAAACGTTTGTTCAAAATCACTCTATATAACTTTATATTATTATTTTATTTTAATATGTATTGTATAATGTTATTTTTACAAATATGAAAATGTGATTTTAGAAAGTAAGCAATATGTCTTACATGTTCACATATAAAACATATTTAAATAAAATAATAGTATGAAGATTCTAAAGGGCAATAAAATAATGAAATAAAATAACTAAAATAATCAGTGTTTTCTAAATATAATATTATACTACAAAATAAAATTAGACTTTTATTAAATTTTAATAAATTTATTAAATTATAATATTATTTTTATATATTCTTACATATCTTTACTTTAGTAGAAAAAAAATTTATAGAAAACTTAAAAAAAGAATTAAAAAAAAATAAATATTATATTATTATAAAAAAATTAAAAATTATAATTAAAAATTATATTTCCGCGGCCTCTTCCTCTTCCTACTCCTCCTCTTCTAAAAAATCTGCTTCCTCTTCTCGAACTTTTTCCTCTTCTGCTCTCCATTCTTCCTTTCTCTCTGCGTGCAGACCATTTATATCTATAAAACGTAAGAGAGAAACATATTATAGCTTGATAAATAGAAAGATATAATTATTTTATATATTTAAACACACATACACGTGCGCGCGCGCCTCTCACACAACACACACACTCACACACACACGCACGCACATGCACGCACGCACGCGTAAAATAACAAATACATTTTTATAAATTGATATATATACATATATAAATCCGAAATTTAATAAATATACTTTTCATCACGTTCGGCGCGCCTTACACCAGTCCGACGCTGCATGTGGAATGATGGATCCTGCTGTTGTTTCCCTGCATCATCCTTGTGCTGTTTTTTTCCTTCATCTTTGTTCTGCTGTTTTTCTGCATCATCATCATCATCATCATTCATAGCAGAAAAAGAGCTGAAAAAATAAATATAATATATATTTTTGCGTGCATGTGTAACTTTAATATACAAATAATATTTTAAATATATAGGGTAGACCATTTTCATCAATACACGCGAAAATCTCGAAAAGGAGAAGTTCTTAAAAAAAATGTTTCAGACAAAAGTTGTTTGACTCGAAGGAGAACATAAGATAGTGGCAAATATTTGACCTCAGATAATTGTTTGAAGGTCACATGAAGGTCATTTTTAATTTTTTTAATGAAATCCCTTATTTTTTTATTACTTATTCTTATAGCTTATCTCGAGAGCTTTCTAAAACACTATAACAAAGTATTTCTTCATTGAGTACTTTTCGAGTTATGAGGCTTAAAATAATTTCTTAATTTTACATAAACCATAAAATATCTAATAAAATATTCATTTTTCGATTATCTAATCTTAATACTTTCATGTATAAAATAATGAGAGGAATCAATTAGTGTTCAGAAAAAATATAGTTGTTTTTAAGAAAAAATATTTACTGTTAATTGCAAATTACATATTTTTTCTTCGAAACACCTATGTGTTTTCTTTACACCAATTGATTCCTTTCATTATTTTTTACATAAAAGTATTAAGATTAGATAATCGAAAAATGAATATTTTAGTAGATATTTTATGGTTTATGTAAAATTAAGAAATTATTTTATTAGATATTTTATGGTTTATGTAAAATTAAGAAATGATTTCAAGCCTCATAACTCGAAAAGAACTCAATGAAGAAATATTTTATTATAGTGTTTCGAAAAGCTCTCGAGATAAGCTATAAGAATAAGTAATAAAAAATAGTGGGTTCCGTTTAAAAAATTAAAGATGACCATAATATTTAATGTTTTATATGTACATATATCGCAGCAAACACTAATAAATAAAAATAATGTCGTAGCCAGATTACAAAATTCATCGTTTTATAAAACGTCTAGACATTTTATAAAGTGCGGTTACATTCTCAAGTTAAAAATGAAATGTTTTACAATCTGGCTAAGAGAGAATTTTAGTCAATTTATAAAACGTTTACAAGAAACTAATTGCTACATTGTCAAATGCAACGATTTTTACATCAAAATTATTATAATAGAATAAAAGTCTGTAGGATAAAATCGATAAAATTTCATAAAAGGCTTAAAGGACCAGCGCAAAAGTGAAAAGATGCGAAAATAAAAACGGTTATATTAATATAATAAACCTAATAAAACGTTTATTTAATTTAAGTGACAAACGCTGCGTTTCGATCCAATTCGGATCCTTTTCAATGTCAAATCACGGAATAAAGTAATAAACATAAAAATAAAATAAATATAAGGTCAAATTAACAGTCATTAGAAATAAGTAACGGAAAGACGCAAAGCAAAATAAATAATAATAAAAGAGTCAGAAATGTCGAAGTAAAATTACGCAAAATAACCGACGAATTCAAATTAACAAAGAAGCGCAACGAGTTGATAAGCGGATAAATTGAATTCGTCGGTTATTTTGCATTATAATATATGAATGTTCTTATTTTAAGTTTTGAATAATAGTATACATAGAGATTCTTCACACACATGCACGTACGCACGCACACACACACGCACGTACGCACGCGTATATATGTAAATAGAAATATATAATATTAATTAATTACTACTTACTCAACTTCTAACTAATCTACAAAATTTCTTCTGCTGGCTGATGCGAATCGTTTCACCGTCTCGAATAAACTGATAAATACAAAAATACACATACTTTTATTATCGTTTGTGATTTGCCGCTTGCCGAGTATAAAAACGCGAAAGATGATATCTCAGGGGATTTCCCGATTAGACACAATACGATTAGACACAGCCAATTATATCGACCGATGCCTAGGGTAACCAGCACGATCAAGCACGATTAGCCAATCAAAGCCAGTTGTGTCCAATTATACTGTGTCTAATCGGAGGTGTCTCGATATCTCATGCTTGCCATCGCATGGGTCCACGAGGTCGCTCATCGTTGGTGAGACAAAGTCAGAGCGATGGATTGTTAGTCTTTGTCAGATTAACTTATCTCTCTGTTTCATCCTAAGAACGTAGTTAGTAGTTACTGCATTGGCCACTACTACGGTATGGCGCTGAAATCAGTGAGAAAGTACCGGTCTAGTCTTTACCCGGGTCATTGGCTATCTGTCTATTAATCTGTGATCTCGGGAGTGTACATTGGAGCATGCGACGCGACAAATCTTATAAGTCGATGGTCTGGTATTGTACGAGACCTTTTTATCAATTTTTTCCCATTTTATTTAGTTAAGTCTCCTTATATTTGATTCCATATTTGCGAGGAATATGAGTTTCAATAAAACTAAGGAAGTTATAGAAGAGGGAGATGTTGTTATTTTGTATTTGAATCCAAACAACATATATTCTCTGGAAGTAAAAGCAAAAACTTTTAACAAGAAAGCCGAACTCGTGGATAATGTATTTCAGACTACATATGGTGCATTGAAAGTCATTTCGCTTGTAGGACAAAAATATGGTTCAAAAATAGAGCTAACTAAAGGTTGGGCACATGTATTACAACCAACACCAGAGCTCTGGACAATGATATTGCCACATAGAACACAAATTATTTATAGTCCAGATATAAGCCTTATTACACATTTAATGGAACTTAAACCAGGCAGTACAATTATTGAAACAGGTATGCTATAATATTAATTGAAATGAACTTTATATTTTTTTCATAAATCAATTTTAGGCACTGGTAGTGGCTCATTATCACATTCTCTAATTCGAGTGATACGTCCAAATGGTCACTTATATACTTTTGATTTTCATGAACAGCGTGTGTCTATTGCTAACACAGAATTTGATAGACATGGACTGAGTGATTTTGTAACTTTGAAGAAAAGAGATGTTTGCTTAGATGGATTTGGAGAAGAACTGAAACATAAAATTGATGCAGTTTTTCTAGATCTTCCACATCCATGGTTAGTTATAAAACATGCTACTGTTGTTTTAAAACAAATAGGTGAGACTTTTTCTTTAATTTAATTAATTAATTATTTGTTTAAAATATTGGTCAATATAATAAATAATTTCTACGACAAAAATATTTTAATACATGTATATGATAGCAATGTTGTATAAATATATTCCAAGACATACCATTTATATTATGCAAAACTTATATTTTATATTACATATAATAATTGGTATTAAATAGGTGGAAAGCTATGTTTTTTTTCTCCGTGCATTGAGCAAGTTCAACGTACTTGTGCCAAACTTATCTGTGAGGGATTCATAGAATTAAACACATATGAATGTTTGCAAAGAGAAATGAACGTTCAATACAGATCTCTGCCAATATTAGATTTTGAATGTTTAAAATACAAGGTATTGTGCATTTTATTATTCACTGAATATTTATCTTTAATTGAAAATGAAATAATTATATCTTATATTGAAAATCTATAGCATATTGATATAAATGCTATATTAAATGATAGAATGAATTTGAAATGTACAGAATATTTTTGAATATCTTATTTTAAATTTTTGTTGTACAATTCCTTATTAATATTTTTTTTGTGACATTTATTAAGATAAAGATACAGATAAGATTTTTTAAGATATTGAAAAAAATTTTAAATAAAAATATAACATAAATTACAAATGTTAATGCGTACAAAGTACAAAATATATAATTGTTTAATTATAGCACACAAATGAGAATATAACTGAGAAGAATGAAAGAAGAGAAAGGAAACAAGAGGGAAAACTTCTTACAGTTATTCATGCTCAGTCGTTGCCTGGGCATACAGGCTTTATTACAATTGCCACTCTCCCTCCTTCTTGTCATCGTTGTACACAAAAGTAAAAAAGAATTATTAATCCTATTAAAATTCAGATCAAGACAAGCAAACAATTTAAAAATACAAAAGTAAAATATGCTATGTGCATTCAACAGTTGAATAGAATTCATAAGAAATTTACTGAAAGTCACAAATAAAAACTTCGTAATTTTAAAGCTACAGAAAGCTATAAAGAGCACTTTGATTTTGCTTATTTTTTAAGTTATTGCTTTTACTATTGTAATATCATTTTAATACTATGTATTATCTATGAAATAAATATAAAATATTAAAATATTAGGAAAATGGAATTATAAAAAATAAAAAAATCACTCATACATTTGTTATTTATGTTTGTTATATATTGAATATTTTATGCATCTGTCTTGCTTGGATTCCAACTAAGATAATCCAGTCGAGTTGCAGCTTGATATTCTTTCACCAAATATTCTACAATTTCTCGCGAATTATCTAATTCATCAAGATTGTCTTCAAACATTTTTTCTTTGCGAAATTGTTCTAGAAACGCTTCTCGCTTACGCAGTTTGTCATATTGTTGTAAAGCTCTGTCAAAAAGCTACAAAAAATATATAAATATGTATAAATATAAATATATATATATATATATATACATATACACACACATATACAGGATATATATATATATATATATATATATATATATATATATACACATACACACATATACAGGATATATATATATATATATATATATATATATATATATATATATATATACAGGGTGTACCACCTAGAAGTGGCCACCCCCTTTTATCTTTTAAACTAAAAGAGATAGACCATAACAAATATATATGAAATTAAATGGCTTTAACTGAACTTTATTGTGAGCATAGTGGTTGATTACAAAATTTATCTGTATTAAAGAACGGAAAGATATGTATAATTTTTTTATAATAATGTAGATATTTTGATATAATAAAAGTTGTAGCGCTGTTTGAAACGAATATAACGATGTATGATTTAATGTAAATATTTTACATATTATACGAGATTTTCCGGCTTGAAGTATCGCGGGCGACGTCCACCATTTCATTTTCGGTCCTGCGATATAGCCAACTTCTGACTGAGTATCATGATTAAATGACAACATGACATATGTCAACCTCTACTGCACGAGTCGGAAGTTGGCTATATCGCAGGGCCGAAATGAAATGGTGGATGTCGCCCGCGATATTTCCAGCCGGAAAATCTCGTATAATATGTAAAATATTTACATTAAATCATGCATCGTTATATTCGTTTCAAACAGCGTTAGGTCTATCGTTAGCGTTGGTCTATCTCTTTTAGTTTAAAAGATAAAAGGGGGTGGCCACTTCTAGGTAGTACACCCTGTATATATATACACACACAGGGTGTCCCCATTTTAATCGATGATCCCGAATAACTTTTTTAATTTTGATTATAGGAAAAAATATTTCAGACAAAAGTTGTATGGCTTAAAGGGGGACATGAGATGGTGTCTTTAGTTTGACATTGAAGTCACGTGAAGATCACATCCAACTTTTTAAATGGGACACCCTATATGCTTTTGCCTTTTTTGTTTAGTTCATCTCGAGAGCTTTCCAAAACACTATAATTAAGTTAGTTTTCATTAAGTACTTTGCGAGTTATGAGGCTTGAAATAATATCTTAATTTTACATAAACCATAAAATATCTAGTAAAATATTTATTTTTCGATTATCCTACCTTAATACTTTTATGTACAAAATAATGAGAGGAATCAATTGGTGTAAAGGAAAAACACAGTTGTTTTTAAGAAAAAATATGGAATTGTTAATTGCAAATTACATATTTTTTCTTCGAAATAATTATGTGTTTTCTTTACAGCAATTGATTCCTCTCATTATTTTGTACATAAAAGTATTAAGGTAGGATAATCGAACAATGAATATTTTACTAAATATTTTATGGTTTATGCAAAATTAAGAAATGATTTCAAGCCTCATAACTCGAAAAGTACTCAATGAAGAAATACTTTATTATAGTGTTTTGAAAAGCTCTCGAGATAAGCTACAAGAATAAGTAATAAAAAATAGGGGGTTCCATTAAAAAAAATTGAAGGTGGCCTTCATGTGACTTTCAAACAACTTTTCAAGATAAAACCAATGATACCATCTTATGTCCCCCTTCAAGCCATACAACTTTTGTCTGAAACATTTTTTCCTACAATCAAAATTAAAAAAGTTACTCGGGGTCATCGATTAAAATGGGACACCTTGTATATACAGGGTGAGTCATTTTAATCAATACACTCGAATATCTCGAAAACAGCACTCTTCAGAAAGAAATGTTTCAAACAAAAATTGTAGGGTGTGAAGGGGGACATAAGATGGTAGCATTGGTTTGACCTTGGAAAGTCATTTGAAGGTCACATAAAAGTCACCTTCAATTTCTTAAATTGAACCCACTATTTTTCATTACATATTCTTGTAGCTTATCTCGAGAGCTTTCCAAAACACTACAGACAAATGTTTTTTCATTAAGTACTTTTTGAGTTATAAGGCTTCAAAGTTTGCAGTACTTCGATATAAAATGCAAAATATCTCGTAAAATATTTAGTTTTCGGTAGTCTTACCCTAATACTTATGCACAGGATAATGAGACAAAACTATTGGTGCAAAGAAACGCATGATTGTTTATAACAAAAAGTGCATTGCAAATTACACATTTTTTATTATAAACAATCATACGTTTTCTTTGCACCAATAGTTTTGTCTCATTATCCTGTGCATAAAAGTATTAGGGTAAGACTACCGAAAACTAAATATTTTACGAGATATTTTGCATTTTATATCGAAGTACTGCAAACTTTGAAGCCTTATAACTCAAAAAGTACTTAATGAAAAAACATTTGTCTGTAGTGTTTTGGAAAGCTCTCGAGATAAGCTACAAGAATATGTAATGAAAAATAGTGGGTTCAATTTAAGAAATTGAAGGTGACTTTTATGTGACCTTCAAATGACTTTCCAAGGTCAAACCAATGCTACCATCTTATGTCCCCCTTCACACCCTACAATTTTTGTTTGAAACATTTCTTTCTGAAGAGTGCTGTTTTCGAGATATTCGAGTGTATTGATTAAAATGACTCACCCTGTATATACAGGATGTCCCAAAAGTCCCGGACCGGTCGAATATTTCATAAACTATGCACTTTAGAAAGAAATGTTTCAGACAAAAGTTGTATGGCTTGAAGGGGGCCATCAGATAGTGGCAATGATTTGACATGGGAGAGTCATTTGAAAGTCACGTGAAGATCACCAATTTCTTAAATGGAACTCCCTATTTTTTATTACATATTCGTGTAGCTTATCTCGAGAGCTTTCCAAAACACTATAATTAAATATTTTTTCATTGAGTATTTTTCGAATTATGAGGCTTGAAATCATTTCTTAATTTTACATAAACCGTAAAATATCTTGTAAAACATTCATTTTTCGATTATCTTACCTCAATACTTTTATGTACAAAATAATGAGAGGAATCAATTGGTGTAATGAAAACACATTTATGCAAAATTAAGAAATAAGCTACACAAATATGTAATAAAAAATAGGGGATTCCATTTAAGAAATTGACGGTGATCTTCACGTGACTTTCAAATGACTCTCCCATGTCAAATCATTGCCACTATCTGATGGCTCCCTTCAAGCCATACAACTTTTGTCTGAAACATTTCTTTCTAAAGTGCATAGTTTATGAAATATTCGACCGGTCCGGGACTTTTGGGACATCCTGTATGTATATATATATATATATATATATATATATATATATATATATATATATATACATACATATACATATATATATGTATTTATTTATTAGAGTACATTTAAGTTTTAATATTATATTATATATCTATAAAGCATATACTGTCTGAAAAATAAAGTCAACACTAGAGTGCAAATATATCATTTTCTCTCTTGACATAGTAGTATTGAGCGATATATGCATGTGCATAACAACGAATGCTTCCATGAGTAAAGAGGGAAATATATTCTCTCTCTCTCTCTCTCTTAACTTCATTCTCCACTTATTGTTAGGCTAAGAAATCAGTAATATATACTTTATAGATATATGTATTGTATACTATATATTGTGTTAATCAATTTAAATGATTGTGTAATGTCGAATTGCCAGCACTCACTGATGATATATTAGTGTGATTGGCTAACATCAGGCCAGAAACGCGATGTGTACTTTGTATATAAGGAGATTTTCTTGAAAGAGCTACTTGTATACTAGCTGGACCCCAAGGAATAAATTGTGCAAGTTTTCGTTCTCTAATCCTTTGCAAAGATTTATGCACTTGTGTCGGATCTATTTCACCCTAAAATACATTATTAGTCTTTTGTGTTATGTGTTTTATAATTCACACATATGTCTGATTTTTAAGTGAATTTCAAGAAATAATCAATTTTAAATATGATCATTTTTAAAGAAATTTACCTGAATTATGTTTAAGATAGATATATAACAATGAGATGCATTTCTATCTAATGCTGTAGAAACCATCATATTTTTTGGTTGCAACAATCGTCGCATTACGTCCAAAACAGATGTTTTCCTTACAGATGCGCCCTGTTATTAAATAATATTTCTTATAAGTATAGATATAATAACATCGTATATTTTATACCAAATTCAGTCATAATTGACAATTATACATGACAGGATTTAAATAAGATTGACTTTAGATAAATATAAAATAAAAATATTAAATATACATATAATAGTGCAATACTATATACAATAACTATATACAAGTATGCATATATAATTTCAATGTATACAATTAGCAAATTTCTATCCAAATAAATTATTGGCAATGTTCAAAAATTATTGTCTCTTATGACTGATTGTTCCATTTTAAACATCTATTACCTAGATTGCAAATAATAATATCATAAATCTGGAGCTACTAATTGTTACTTATCATAGCAATGCTTTCATTTAACATGTATTAGTAAGATTATATCAGTAATCAACCATAAAATATAAGATAAATTCTGAACTTTGATCATTACCTCTTGATCGGTTGTAAGTGGAGTATATCCAGTCATTAAGAAGTGTAAGCGAGGAGTTGGTATGAGTGGTGCAATCAAACCAACCAAATCATTATTCATATATGAAGGATATCTCAAGGTGGTTGTACTGACGGACATTATTGTTGAAACAAGTTTATTAATTTGTGTAAAGCTAGGATTCTGAATATGTAATCTATCTGAGGCAATTCTATTCAAAGCAGTATTATCTAAAACCACCACACAATCTGCGCATTGAGTCAGCCTTTTTAATGTTAACAGTGAATTATATGGCTGTACTACGACATCGCTATAACAAAGAATTGATACATATAAACATTAAAGAATAATTTTCTTAATAAATAAATATTTACCTTATTTCATCTTGATTTGGAAAAACACTGTATGTCTCAATTAATTTTTTAGGAAATCTATCAGCAAGAGATTCTAACATGAAAGAACCCATACCAGAACCTGTACCTCCTGCTATCGAATGGCACAAAACAAAACCCTATAAATTCAATAGCTTTTTTTAATTATCATAAACTGTAAAATTATATGACAAAAAATTAATATCTTTTTATATAGATTTTATAAATATGAAATTAAAATCAGAGCAAAATTAAAGGTTCAAATTTTGTCAATGTTCTATGAGTAGAAATAAGAAAAAAAATGTTATACAGTTGTAGATTCAAAAACATATCATATTATATTGAAAAAAAAATTTAATTTTCCATTTCAAAATACTGTCTGGTATTTCTTATGCAATATTGACACCATTGAGAAATTAAATACCTATAAATTTCATATCTATTTTGCTTTAGTTCAGTTTCATTCATCATTAATCTTGCTTATCAATTCTTATCACAGATTAATCTTCTTGCACAGTATATTACATTTTTACATTTTGTCACAGAAAAATCTAACAGTGTAAAATTTGGTAATAAAAACCATAAGCAATCATATTTGCATATTCTTCATTTGAGAACACACTCATGGCATTTTAATATAAAATTGTATTACATACTGATATAACATACTGATTTCAAGACAGATACAAATTGCTAATTTACCAAAATTAATTGCCTTCAATGATTTCACTTAAATCAAATAATAAATAATTAAAATAAATAGATTAAATCCATATTGCTAACTTAATCTACATTGACCTAATGTCTTATTAATTCAATTACTTTGGTATATCTTTAAATCATAATACATTAACAGCAACTTCATGTTATTCGCTATAACATTTTTATAAAATGTTTCTGGATCTTAAAATTATATATAGTTATATAATATTTTTTTGGATCTATAACATTATATAACATTTTTTTCTTACTTTTACTCATAGAATATACTAGCAAAATTTAATTGTTTAATTTTAAATTATATCATATATTATTATTGGTAAAAGAATAAAGATAATTACTTCTAAACTGTCACTACCATCAGCTTCTCTATCCAATATATCAAAGATTTCTTCTTGTAATTTTTCACCCTGATGGTATCCTGATGCCCAGTTATTTCCAGCACCACCACCATGTTTTGATAAATAGATATTTTCAGGATTATATAGCTTGTAACAATTAAAAAATTTTGATTTCTTTTATGTCAATTATAACTATAAAACTATATAAAAATAATAATATGTATATTACCTTTGAATATGGAGAATTCATAATAGTGTGAATTACTCTAGGTTCCAAATCTAATAATACAGCACGAGGTATATAATGTTCATCATCTGATTGGTAAAAAAAAACATCCTTTCTGTCTGTTCCATCTACAGCATAATCTTCCAAAATTCCTTCTGGGCTAATTCCATGTTCGGCACACAATCTCTTCCAAAATTCAAATCCAACTATAAAAAAAATACATGAATAAGAATACATAAGGTTTATTATTAGAAAGAAAATATATGTTTTATGATAATAATAAAAAGTTTAAGTTTATAAATCTTAAGTCACAAAATGAATTAAACTCTTTGATTTCTTTGTTATATTTTCCATCATGTAAAAAAAGTATCATACAGATTATTTTTTATAATCTTAATATTTGGTTTGCTACTCTGTTTGGAAATTATAGCTGCATCAAAAAATTTTAATACATGAAAAGAATATATCCATAGCAAAATAACATATAATACTTTGATTGCCACATTGGCCAAGCTGTAAAGTTATCATTTCGCAAGGCATTTTGACGCTTTTGTAAATACTTCAAATATAAATCACTTTATTTTTTAACTGGTACAAAAAGAATACACAACTGACACTATTAATGTCATAGATATGTAAAATACATAGATTGACAGTTTACATTAGAAGCCTTTAGGACGCACCCTGGCAGGAAAGCAGAAAACAATAAAGCAATAAGCCAATCTGAACTCGTGTTGGTAATAAGTAGTGTTACCGACGAGATAGGGTCCGGTACACAAAAATACATAAGCAGAAACGTCAATGAGCAAATTGACCAATCATGATTAAACAGCAAAGCAGCCATATTAAAACATAAAGGCCTTGCACGTACAAAAATTTTAGTCGTAACCGTAAAGTCATAAGAAAACTGACAAATCATAGTAGAGTATTCTTTCTGCGATAAAAGAATAATCAACTGTGATTGGTCAGTTTTCTTACGGCCTTACGATTACGACTAAAATTTTTGTATGTGCAAAGGCCTTAAGAATTCCGATTTTTTGATTTTCTTACTGTTCGCGTCTTATTGCTTATGTATTTTTGTGTGCCAGGGTCACGGTCTTACCACAGTATATACAGTAGCGCAACTCTCCCGATTTTGTGATTTATTATTAACAAATATATATTTCTTGTTTTTTTATTCATTTTGTTCATAAATATATATATTTTATATAATAAAATTTAAGTGATTGTAGTCTTAATCTAAATGTTTTTTTTAATTTGAAGTTTTTGAATATATACAGGGTGTCCGATTCGTGAGGGACCAAACGAAAAGTAATGATAGATTGGGTCAAACTAAGAAGAATAGTCCTCTACCATTTTGCAAAATTCGCAATAATTATTAAGTAATAAGCAAAAATGTACATACATATACATACATGCATACATATATATGTATGCATATATACACACATGCATACATACATATGATAATAGATTGGGTCAAACTAAGAAGAATAGTCCTCTACCATTTTGCAAAATTTGTAATAATTACTAAGTAATAAGCAAAAAGCGGTCTACCGCTTCTCATGCGCCGGGACATTTTATTATTACTTAATAATTATTGCGAATTTTGCAAAATGATAGAAGACTATTCTTCTTAGTTTGATCCAATCTATCATCATATGTATGTATGCATGTATATATATGTATGCATGTAAGTATATGTATGTACATTTTTGCTTATTACTTAATAATTATTGCGAATTTTGTAAAATGGTAGGACTATTCTTCTTAGTTTGACCCAATCTATCATCACTTTTCGTTTGGTCCCTCACGAATCCAGTGTTGCCATCTTCCTGTCACTGCCTTGAATTATTTCGTTTTCGGTTCTTGTTACCCCTCCTTATTTGTGATGCCAGAATGTTTACGTTGGCAACAGCAAATTATTTTGCATAGAGTATAGCTCGGCGTTTCTGTAGAACAGTCGGGAGTGTTGAGGAACGCCGAGCTATACTCTATGCGAGATAATTTGCTGTTGCCAGCGTAATCATTGGCATCACAGCTTCTTATTGGCATCACAGCTCCTTATTGGCATCACTGGCCTCATTGGCATCATAGCTCCTTGGCATGTTAGCCTCAGTCACCACAGATATATCGTCGGAGTCAGTTCGCTCTTTCCGAGTCCCTATGTTTTTCTGACTTTCCCATGTATGTATGCATATATACACACATGCATACATATATATACGGACACTCTGTATATAGAATATATGTATATACAATAAATATATAAATATATTAAAAATTATATATATATATATATATATATATATATATAAGTATTAATATGTAAATATATTATAAATTATATATGAGTATTATAAGTATATATCTTTTCATTCTTTTCTGCTATCAGTTATATATGACATATAAAATGGTTAATTAATATTCACATCATGTCATATATACTATTTTTTATATATATTTGCATTATATATTTTGTATTATATTTTTCACAATTTCTTTATGTACATATATTCAAGTTTTATTGAATTTAATTTATATTACATATTCCCAATAAGCAAAATGTAAGCAGTATGTCGACAGACTGGCAACAGATTTGATCAAACCATGTCAGCAGAATGACATCTACTGCGTCCTCATTCTGCTTCTAATCTGCTAGCAGAACCTGCTCACAGAATCGGATATCAGATTGTCGGCAGAAACTGAGCAGGATCTGCTATCAATGCTAACATGACTTGATGTCAGACTGTTAGCAGAAATCGAACAGGATCTGCGCGTGCAATTTGATGTTAGATTGTTCGCAGAAACCGAACAGAATCTGCGGATGCAACCTGATGGCAAATGGACAGTAGAAATTTCACAAGATTTGCACTTTTATTAATATTATATAAATGCAACAAAATTGATTATTACAGGTGCTAAATAACAATATTATCGGCAAGTTAATTAGAATTTTCTTATAGAAAATGACATATATGTAATATGTTATATCATAGTTATATTTCATATAGCGAAGAACTAATTTCAATTCTATTTAATTAAATTAATAATAAAGTAAATGTAACTTGTAAAACTTGAGATGTAATTTATTTAGAATTAAATTCTTGCTTTATGCCTCAAATAGCCAGTGCATGAATAATTTTCCATATATTATATTGATTCCAATCAGTTTAATATTCTGAATTCTGACTCTCATTTGCTTGTATCAGATATCAGAAATTAAAGTGAAAAATTAAAATGATAATTACTATATTTTTAGTCTTTTATTCATATTCGTGACTTTATATATATTTCTGACAGAAATTCAATTACGAGAAAGTACAGCTCACGTAGCGGTAAGTGAAAGAACTATCGAATCATGCAAATCCTGTTCCATTTCTGCCATCAATCTGCTATCAGAGATTGTATGCGCAGATCCTGTTCGATTTTTGCCGACAATCTGTTGTCAAATTGCATCGCACAGATCCTGTTCAATTTCTGCCACCAATCTGCCACTAAGTTATGCCGGCAGAATCTGTTCGATTTTTGCTGCCAATCTGGTAACTGATTATGTTAACAAGCTTTGTTATATTTCTGTTGACATTCTGGCGACATCACATGATATATCAGAACCTGCATCGATTCTGTAATCTTTCTGTCGACAACAATTTCTAACAGATTCCCTGACAAGATCTGCTTTAGCAGACTTGGCTATTGGGGTTATAATATAATGTGTTAGGAAGAGAATAAAAACTAAAGGAGAGAGTGAGAGGAAAATACAGATGGCAATACTGGTATACTCGCTGACTTCGCGCATGCGCATTTCATTTTATGCTACACAAACTTCAAAGGTGCCGACAGCGAGTTGCGCTACTGTATATACTGTGGTCTTACATACAGGTCTGGAAATTCAGGCCTTTTTTAGTGATAGGGGAGATCTCACTTAACCTTAATAACTTAATGAAAGTTATAAAAATCATAAAGTAAAAGCATAAAATAGCGCAAATGAAAAAAATAAAACAAAATTAAATCTAAATAAAATAAAATAAAAACCTAAAGATAAAAGATGGTATATCGGAAAGTCAGAAAAACATAAGTACAGGGACTCGGAAAGAGTGAACTGACTCCGACGATATATATCTGTGGTGACCGAGGTTAACATGTCAAGGAGCTGTGATGCCAGTGAGGCCAGTGATGCCAATAAGGAGCTGTGATGTCAATAAGGAGCTGTGATGCCAATGATTACGCTGGCAACAGCAAATTATCTCGCATAGAGTATAGCTCGGCGTTCCTCAACACCCCCGACTGTTCTACAGAAACGCCGAGCTATACTCTATGCAAAATAATTTGCTGTTGCCAGCGTAAACATTCTAGCATCACAGATAAGGAGAGATAACAAGAACCGAAAACGAAATAATTCAAGGCAGTGACAGGAAGATGGCAACACTGGAAAGAAAATTTTGAAAGAGACAGTCTGAATTCTTTCCTGTTATCAATAATCTAAACAAATTAGCGGTCTTTGCTGTGCGCAATAAATTAAATAATTTCATCAAACTACATAAAGATCCTTTACCTAAATTTAATCATTCCAACATAATCTATAAAATTAAATGCAATGACTGTTTAGCGTAATATGTAGGTCAAATCAGTAGACAATTAATTACGAAAATCAAAGAACACAAGGCTAATAATATCAATACACACTCAAATTCATTATCAGTGATTTCTTTTCACAGACTTTCTGGTCATGAGTTTGATTGGGATAATATCTTGATTTTGGATGAAGAACCTTCCTACAGAAGAAGATTATTTTCTGAAATGATGCATATTGCGTGTCAAAAAAATGGCATTAACGTACAGACTGATACGGATCTCCTTGACAAATCCTATTTTCCAATTATCCACAAATTTTCTTAACCTTAGAGTCCTGTCTCTTTCAAAATTGTCTTTCCAGTGTTGCCATCTTCCTGTCACTGCCTTGAATTGTTTCGTTTTCTTGTTACCCCTCCTTATTGACATATTAACCACAGATATATCGTCGGAGTCAGTTCGCTCTTTCCGAGCGGATCCGTTAGCGCACGGTGCGATAGCGCACGAACCCGATAGCACACTAAAAATTGAACACAATTCCCGATAGCCCACATCCCGATAGCGCACCAACCCGATAGCGCACCAACTTTGCACCAACTACAACTTTGCACGCGAAGCGAGGGGGACGGGGTGGGTGCGGGAGGGGGGGAGAAGGTCCCCCCTTGCATCCCCTCGTGTGTGTGTGTATGTTTTTGCATGCAGTTGTACTTGGTACGCTTGGCGCTATCGGGTTGGTGCGCTATCGGGACGTGGGCTATCGGGAATTGTGTTCAATTTTTCGTGTGTTATCGGATTCGTGCGCTATCGCACCGTGCGCTAACGGGACTCCCGTTCTTTCCGAGTCCCTGTACCTTTGTTTTTCTGACTTTCCCATATACCATCTTTTATCTTTAGGTAATTTTATTTTATTTTTTTTCATTTGCGCTATTTTATTCTGCTCTTACTTTATGATTTTTATAACTTTCATTATCAATTCATTATCAATTTATCTTTTCTGTTGTTTGGTGTTGTGTGTAATTTGATTTTCTTGCGGCGCCGGTTGCTCTGCCTTCGTTTTTATTTTTACAGGACATTTTTTATTACGTTTATATTTTTGGACATTTGTTTCTCACCATGTAATATTTGGAGCTACATCTTTGGACCGTTATGCTTCTCTATCATACGAGTTCATCTGTTACGCGCTTCTCTCACGTGATTGCCTGTTTATCCTTTTTTTGCAACCACTTGCTCTTTACGCTTCGATATCATAGGTGAGCGTCATCTCGTCGTTATTTGCGAGAAATTAAATTTGGATTTTTATTTACAAAATTATAATTATGCGTGCGTCTCATTATATCACCATTCTTTCTGTGATTTTTGCGTTTTTTTTCTTTTTTTTGTAATATTACTAAAATCCATCTGTTCTTGTTTGATTTAACCTTGCTCTATATTGCAATCTCTTTTGATATTTATTTTTATTGTAATTTGTGAGACATTGAAAATGATGCAGATCCGGATCGAAACGTTTGTCCTTCCTTGAATATACTTTTAATTTGAAATTATTTGTTGTCATCAATTTTTTGTTCTTTTGCGTTACCGTTATCTTTCTGCTGTGGTTTTCTGCCTATTGATTTTTAATATTAGAATCATTTGATAAAATATTGATAGATTGAATACTTTCATTATGCACAAATCTATTTTAGAGAATTTAATATATAATAATTTATGCAAATTATATATATTGCAAATAACAAATGTATATAATGATGTTGCTTTAATTCATCCATTATTTGTTAATTCCTTTAAATTTTTTGCCAAATTAAAGCAGTTTTTGACACTTTATTATCTTCTTTTCTATATTTTAAAATTGTGTTTATGATAAGATCTAGAGACATTTTCCATTTTTCTTTTAAACATCTTCATATAATTACTTTATATCACAAAATATCATTAATACGATACAAATATCACTATCAATACTAATATCACAAGTCACACTTTACTAATATCACAATAAATCTTTCGACTGTCTTGCTGAAATAGATGAAACGCAGTACAGAATACGTTAAGAACATTAAACGAATAGTAAAAAAGAAGTACGAACATTAAACGAAAAGTAAAAAAAAAACAGTACGTGCATTCACACTCGCGGCTCACAAGTACGTTCGTAAAAGACAGCACTGTAACAAAAGCAACGATACGTCGCGCGCACACACACACACATTCGCGCACTCTCGGCTCAGGTACAGCAAGTACGCGCCTAGAAGATAGCGATGTTTGCTAGGATATCAAATTTTTTAGAAAAAAGATATTGCATAAATAATATTTTGTCATATAAAATAATTTAAGAGATAAATATTTACCTTTACACAGCCAGTCCCAAATGACTTGACATTGACATATATTGTCAAAGTCACTGCCCTGAGTAACATCCAAAAGGTTTTAGGCGTTGCCCGTTGTTTATTAAAAGTTATAAACAAAAAAAGTTCTCGTATTTCACGTAATCTTTAAACATTTTATGCACTTAATTGAATGTTTTTTGACATATACGTCCCAGGTAGCAAGCACACGTCATTTTGACGTTTCAAATTGGTCATTCACTAACTATTCTTGACGTCACGAATTGACGTTTTTATGACGTAAAAGTGACGGGCTAATGTCACAGATTCTTGACATCATGACATGTACCGCATTTTGACATCATAAAATATACCATATTTTGACGTCTTTTTCTTAGCATAATAATATATTTAATAGTGTTGTCGAATAAAGCATTGTCTAAAAGTGAATCAGTGTATTATCACTAAAAAACAGTAAATGATTAGTCACTGATTACAGCAGTTATAAGTACAGGACTCTAAATCAGTGTGATATTTTATTAAAAGAATCAGTTAATAATTTTGACTATTTCAACCAGTAATCTTATGAGATATATACACATATATTTTATCTAATCTATCTAGATTATTTGAAATTATCGAAGCGCAATATTGATTATAAGACTTTATCTAAACTAAACATCTTATCTACCGACTCGCTAATCAACGAAACAGAAGATCCGCATACTAAGCTGATCGATTATTTTACCGAACAAAAAAGATGATTAAATTTGCATTATCTAATCCCTCAACAAACCGAAAAGGACCGGCTTCTACTGGCATTGTTTCATCAAGGAATAGAAGTCTCTTCTCCGTCTCACTATCAAGACGTTCACTGATTATCATTGCATTCCTATTCTTCTATTTTATATTATACTATTACTTTATATTTTTATTATAATATATACTGATATTAAGAGGAAGTTATTTGTAATGATTTATTTTTATCATTTTATTTTACAAGTGATTTTATTGTGAACCGCTTTTCACTCAAATCATATCAAATTTTGCAATCTATTATCCGTCAAGAAATTTAAATTGCGAAGTCTCTGAATTGAAAATGATATTTCAATCAAGCTAGAGAAAAGGAGAAAAAGTATATTATAAGCCCGGTGAATACGGGATAATCGGAAATTGTAGTTAGATAAGGTTTAAGATTATTTTATTTTATTATTTTTTATATTATTATTATTATTATTATTATTATTATTAATATCATTTGATTTAATATTTTATGATAATTTTTTAATGATATTTTGATTATTTTATCCTTTTCTCTTTATTATTTGATTATTATTGCCTACTATTAGATTTAATGATTGAATTAATATTATTCATATTATTTTTTATTATTTTAATTTGAATTATTTTAATTTTTTTTCTTACTTTATCATTATTATTACTATTATTTGATTTGACGATTAAGTTTAAATTGTATTATTTGTGCTTTTTATGTTCTTTTTATGGTATTGTTATATTGTTTTGCTTAATATGCATTATTTTCCTTTTCGTTGATTACTTTCTGATTTTGAATTTGATGATAGATAGATCATAATCCTCATCCCCAGTAAATCCGTTGAATGGAAACAGGGTTTACTGAAAAGGGGAGGAATTAGGTAAAGTATTTAGCTATTTTGGTATTGTAGATTTCTATAATTTTGTAATCTAGATATATGTTTAAATGAGAGCATTTTTCTATCACAATTTAGTCACTATTTTGACATTCTCTTAAGTATTTTCTAATAATTGTTCAAAATTTGATGGTTCTTCTTTCTTATCTTTATTTATCTAGTAGTAATCATAGGTATTATCTATACTTTTTTAAATCTTCTATTTTTTAAATCTTCTAATAATCTGTTGTGAACGTTATAACTGTATTTAGAATAACCTAGATATCACAAAACTTTTGTTATTGCGCTTAAAAATAAAAAATCTGAAAAAAAATAAAACACAAAAAATAAAATAAAAAAATAAATGAAAATAATAAAACTTCTACAATAATCTCAATTTTGATGCGGTGAGATGCTCAAGCAACTAATAATATCGTATATATGTATATACATATATAATCACCTATTATTATGGTTATCCATATATCAAGAATAATAAAAAATTAATCTTTCATTATGAACTGTATTTACTTTTACATTGAAGATGATACATGTTATAATCTAAAATGATGGTTAATTTGATGGCAGAGCAGAAATTGATTTGATGAGAGCGAAAATATTTTATTAGTCCATTTATTATTAGTCATGAGTGATATTATTTATGAACCGTTTTTTTCTAACGGGGTTATTTTTAATATTCCTAATAATCATACAATACAAAAAAATTGTCTCTTGAAAATCCTGTGCGAGCTAAAAAACGTGCTAAGAGATCCTCCTGCTTTTTAATTGATGACTAGATATTTTATTATTAATTATTATATGGTACAATATACATATACATTCTAAATAAATCCTGTCATAGCAGCGCCAATTTTTTAAAATTAAGTTTTTATGTTTTTTTATATTTTTGCAATATTTTTTAATATCATAATTTTAGTAAGATATATTTTGAATAATTCTTTTTCAATTAACGATAATTAAATGTTCTTTATCGAGATAATTAAAAATATTTTGTTTTATAATATAATTGTAGAAAATACAAGCTTGAACAATATACAATAAAATAATGCCTCTTTGTACAATGCATTTTTTCATGTACCAAGAAATATGGTAGTGTCTCGCATCAAGTTCACATACAGTAGTAGAGCACCCTGCATATTTATATATCAGCTGAAATTGAAAATATTTTAGATTATTGGTTTTTAATAACTGTAATTGATTGACTTTTACATAAATTTTATCGAGTTTGAATAAATATATAATAAAATTATCTTTATTTTTTTACAAGTCCTATAAGCATAGATAATAAAAGTTTCAATATGAAAATTTTTATTTAAAAAATGCCAACGTCACTATATTTTGATTATCTCTATAAAAATATACTTTTCTAATACACTTTTTATATACAAGATAGTAATAGTTGAAGTTATCGATAATGCGTAATATTGAATGTAATTATTATTTGAGATAAAATTATATTTTGTGTATGTGCGTCCATATATATATAAGAAATATATAGAAATGGAAAGTATGCTTAGATATACGTAAGAGAAAAATCAATCAGTGGTACCGCGTCTTCGCTGACGGCATTTCTTTGTAATAAGAGATAGCGATAAAGAGCGATTCTATATGAAAGGCAGTTCTCTTTTTGGTTGGGAATATTATTTGTGACATACGATATAGAGTGTTTGATAAAGATTGAATCCGCTCATAAACGGATAAAAAATAGTAAACTGAACAGAAAAGTCCTTCACCATTTTGCAATTTTTGCAATGATTATTGAAAAATTAATTTAAAAGATTAGTAAATGAGCTTGTTTCATATAACTAGATCATGAGATATGTGCTCTAGGCGTGTCAACAGCGAATATCGCATGATAACGAAAAGAGAAGAGTTGGAGAACACATTACTAAACTTTTCGTTGCCATGTAACATTCGCCATTGACATATCTAGAGAATGTATCCCATAATTTATTAGGTGTGCGAAAGACGTGCTAATTTGCCAATAGTTTATAATTAATATATCAATAATTATTGTAAAAATTGCAAAATGGTGAAAGATTTTTCTATTCAATTTATTGCGCTCTACTCGTTCATGAACGTTGGTCCAATCTTTATCAAACGCTCGTCAAATCTTTACAAATCTGTAATGATACTTCACTGAAAAGATAGATAAGCTTTTGAGATAGATAAGGTGCACTATCGATGCATGTTGGTGATTGTTTCAAATATTATCATATATTAGAAAAATATAATTATAATGTAAAAATTTTTTGTTCATAAATAAGTACTATAAGATTGAATATCAT